TCAATTTTCGGTAAGAAAAGATTAATGTTTTGGTATTAACATGGGCACTCCCCTTACTTTGACGTCTGAACACAGTCTGCATTTAAATACTCTACTAAGTTTGCGGTATCACCAACCACTTGAGTGACAATTTAAAGGGGAGCCTTTTTTCCAGACAAAATTGTGCTTCCAACGGGTGTGTGTGACGTGGGTTCGAATGTGATCAAAATCTAAGTGGGACACTTAGTGTGATGGCTTAGACACGACTTTGTCTACAATGGTAGACACTGTTTGAAAGGCAGCTCGATGCTTCGAGTAACTAAAAATAGTAAGAAGTGTTGGCCAGGTACGTTTTGGTGTCCGTTGCTTCCATTAAGCACCTAAACAATTCCCTCAGGTGAATTTGGACATTTTTTTACCCTTTGAGGCCTTGGAGGAACTTATTTATTCTTCCTTCGACATTTTTCCCACCCTCCAGACTTTCCTTGACACCAACTTCAATTTCCAAGTCTACGTTCGCGGTTCTCTCTCCTGTAATCATTCTTTTATAGAATTTGCAAACGCGTTGATTTATCAGGCCATCTTAATGCTCAAAGGTTCTTCCCTATGCCAAACGACAGCTAATAAAGTGGGCGCAGATTGAGGGAAACTCTTTGTACCCAATACCCACGGGCAAACTTTCTTGGTGTCGTGGCAGGGGATGGGCCTGTGACAGGACCAGACAGCGAGGATTGGCCTGGGACTTGGCCAATGCAAAGCAAATGGTTGCAATAGAACCTCTCAAACCAGATACTAACTGACAAAAAAATTAACTTTTGTAGTCACTGTTCTTCTTTGACATAAGAGCGAAGTAAGAAGAGCTTTTGAAGATGGTGGAATTCAAATCTACTTCACTTGTAAGTGTACGAGGATGCGCTCTCGGAGATTCTTCAAGGTCATTAGTGTAACATTGCTCCATTTTTTAAAATTAGACTATTCGAGTTGGAACTTTTGTATGTATTTTAACCTGCCAAATTCCAAACAGTAAATATGCATTTGAAAGTATTCGAAATGTGCGCAAACATTTTGAGGAACTTAAGATATACTTTTTGCCCTTGCGATGATGACTACAGCCTGGACTCAATTCGGAGAAAAATTGAAAATTGATATGACTAGCACTAAATTCAACTGATTACAGGATCGCGTTCGAGGAAGTCAGCTGACGGGTGCACGTCTGTTGTTGAATCCAGACTCCAGCTATCCCCGAATAGTGGAGGAAGGAATCAATCTGATGCCAGGCACCTTAACAGACATTCATTTCACGGTGCGAGAGTGGTCGATGATGACTCCACCGTACGGTCGGTGCAGTCACGAGGCGCCGGTGGAGATTGGGTTCGGAGGCCAGACTTACTCCTACACCGAACAGGCTTGCCAGCAGGGTGCGCTTCAGGAAATGATCGCGCAACGCTGCGGCTGTCTTTCCTACGATATGCCAGTGCCCAACCACCTCGAGGGCAATGCAACCACCAATGCCTCTTTCTATTGTCAATTCTTTGAGCTCCCCGTGGTCAACATAAGCACCCGTTCCGACACTGAAATCAGGCGCCGCTACTTTACCCAAAAGGCAATGGAAGGCTTCATTACCCGCATGTACTGTTCCACTGCCATTACAAGGAACACGCTGGCTGCGGAGACTGGGTGTCGGGCGCCCTGCATTCGCTACAGCTACGATACGCAAATCTCGACCGCTCAGTGGCCTACTAAACGCTTCATCACTAATTTTGCCAATAGCGTGAGTGTATCGAAATCAACTTGCTCCACTCGTTTGTCTCACCAGAATGGTTTTGAGCTTCATACTACGATATTGGTAAATTTGCACGCAAGCTGGAAAGGCTGGGGACAATTCGCTGGTATCAGTGCTATTCTGGGTAGCACAAAATCTTTTCAATTTGATAGTGTTACACATTTCATGCAGGATGGCCCCGCATAGAATATGCAGTTGCCGTTCCAACAACTGCTATTTGCATGCATTGATGCAAACTATTAATGGAAAGCGGCTCAAATACTGTTGCATCTTCTAAGGTGTAGTAAGTCCGAATCCCACTCATTAGAGGTGTTAATCCTAATGTTAATCATTTGTCAAATCATTTATTCTCGAAAGGTGAAATATATGAAAGCACAAATATTGATGGTTTAAGTCCATTGCGACTTAGTTTTTTCCCACTTTCCCGTTGAGTCCATTACTACGTTTACTACTGTCATTAGTCATAATGATACATCACCCACACGTAGATCTACTGGCTCCTTAACTTTCAGCAACTGAGTCGCAAGATGCACACCGTCAAGCAGCAAGGCGAACGCAACTCGCAAGGGGAGGAAGATGATGAAAGGCGCTTTGTAAAGCTTTTAAGGCCCTACGCTACCATCTACAACATGACTAGCAACGGTAAGGAGATGGAGGCTGTAGACCTTCTTATGCACCTGCAAGACGTGGAGCAAAACTTCCTCTCCATCATTGTCTCGCGCCCGAACTTCGACATCATCCGGGTGGATGAGAAAGCGGTGGTGACCTTGACCTCCTTATTTAGTCAGATTGGTGGCCTCTTGAGCATTTGGGTGGGCATAACAATGATTTGCATTGTTGAAGTGGCTGAATTTCTTCTCAACTGCTTCGACGTGCTGTGTGGCCGGACACCGTGAATCCTTTGTAACTCGACATTTTTACTTTCTTAATCATCCTCCTGTTAGGAGGAATTAAAGATGTACTGCCCCGCGGAGCAGACGTACCTTATTACGACAAAATTTTGGCATGGATGAGAAAAGTAAAAGATCGTTCGGCTAGATTTTTTTCGAAGTCATTCAGAACACTCGTTTTACAGCAAATCTCTAGTTTAGAATAGTTGATGAAGTTAGTGATAGGCGAAATATTCAACCTCAAAACAGGCGTCACATAAATGTTTCAAGAGGAAAAATGCATATAAGGTGTTTTGCGTTGGGGCTTGTCACACATTGAAGTCCATTAAAAAGCCAAGACAGCTCACGAGGGTGGTCCTGAAGCTGTTTAGCTACAAAACTCATCAAGTGGAAGGTAAAACACAAATCTACCTTCAAACAGTTTTGAGGAACATGAGATGATCGCTTTTAGTATTGCCTGTCGCATCAAGATTGTAGAAAATTCAATGCGTAGAAGCATTGTGGGAAGAGTTCTAGGCTTCGATCTGGATCATATTTGAGAAATGGGGTTTAAGTTTATTGCAGCACTGAGGGGATACTCAATTGCTCAGGTTGATTCTCATATGCCACATTCGAACGGCTTCGAGTCTTTGGAATTCGCGTGCGCATAATGGAAGCACAAATTTGAATAAGACTCTCAAACAGCTCCAGGACGCGCATGAGACGTTAGTCACAATATTTGCATTTGCGGACCTTCCCAATTGTCCACACAACGAGGGTAACTCAGTTCCAGTGAATTGGAGGGCGCCTATCAACAGATGGAGACTAGCAATCGAGCAGAGACAACCCAAATTAATTCCTTCACCATATGGCTACAGTGGCTAAAACTTTTGGAACAGCAAAATGACCTGCTGTTTGTCTAGCAAGAAAACACATTCTGCTATTAATGTACAGAATGAAGGTGATGCTGAAAAATTGAAAGACTGCAAAGGCAATTATAAGCAACAAGGCTTTCATGAAGTGTACGAGAGGTATGAGTACGATTCTGCGGTATGCTTGCATAAAGCAACAATGGCGATGTGAAGGAAATTACAAGTCTTAAGATTCACTACGCCTACGAGACATCGTCCTTATTCGCAATCGTCTCCAACTGTGTGCTCGGGACATGGGTTTCCTCGAAAGGGAACGTTGACTGCTGTTGGCTGAGGGAAGCATTTTATCGGGTACAACAACAGACACAGCGTCACTGTTGGTAATGATGTTCACCGTTTCTGTCATAACTAATAGATCATAGGCAATATTTGCCCCATCGTCTTTTCCGGAATCCAGCTCCAAAATAACGTCCAACTTCCTCGAGTGGTACTTCTTTTCCTCTTCCCCTTCCACTTCTCCTCCATCTTCTTTCTCCTCCGAGTTCGGATCTTCATTCCCTCCCTCTTCCTCTTCTATACCCTCACCCTCATTCCCTTCGCCTATTCCCTTCCCTCTCTCTTCATTCTCATTGTCCTCCCCATCGTCTTTTCCTTTTTCGTCCTCTCCTCCTTCTTTCTCCTCCTCCCCTTCTACGTCTTCTCTTTTTTTCCCATCCTCCCTTGCTTCCTTCTCCCTATCTTCTTTATTCTTTCCATCCTCCCCCACATCTTCTTCCTTCACCTGCACTCCATCATCATTTAACGTGTCTCCTGTTTCTCTTCCCTCACCTTCCTTCCTTCCTCCTTCTTTTTCCCCTCCCTCAGTTCCTCCATATTTTGTGCCTTCATCCTCACTATCTTCTTCCCCCCTACTCACAGCCCTGGCATCCTCCTCTTTCTTGTTCTCCTCTTTGTTCTCTGCATCGTTGCCTCCTCCCTCTTCCCCCACCTCCTTCTCTTCAACTCCGTTCTCATTGTCTTCTCCTTTTTCCTCCCTTTTCTCTTCCTCTACTTCCCTTGCATCCTTACTTTCTTGTTTCCCCACTTCCATCTTGCCCTCCTCTTCTTCTCTTTTCTCATCTTCCTTTACTTCTCCATCTCTACCTTGCTCCTCCGTTTCTCCTCCCTCCTCCTCATTGCTTTCTTCTTTCAGCTCCTCTCCGTCTTTGTCCTCTTCCTCTTCCCCACTTCTTTCTTCGTCTTCTTCATCCTTCTCTTCCTCCTTAACCTTCGCCTCATCACCTCCATCTTCTTTCTGCTCCTTCTCCCTACCTCCTTCATCTTCCTTCTCCTCTTCTTCTTCCTCCTCCTCTTCATCACCTCCTCCTTCATCTACTTCCTCTTTCCCTTCTTCGTTTTCTTCTTCTTCCTCCTCATCACCTCCTTCTTCATCTTCTTCCTCTTCCCCTTCTTCTTCGTTTTCTTCCTCTTCCTCTTCTTCTTCTTCTTCTTCTTCCTCTTCCTCCTCATCACCTCCTTCTTCATCTTCTTCCTCTTCCCCTTCTTCTTCGTTTTCTTCCTCTTCTTCTTCTTCTTCCTCTTCCCCTTCTTCTTCGTTCTTTTCCTCTTCTTCTTCTTCTTCTTCTTCTTCTTCCTCTTCCTCCTCATCACCTCCTTCTTCATCGTCTTCTTCTTCCTCATCACCATCTTCTTCTTCCTCCTCTTCAGCACCTCCTTCTTTATCTTCTTCCTCTTCTCCCTCCTCCTCCTCATCGCCATCATCTTCAGCATCATCAGTTCCTTCTTCGTTTACTTCCTCTTCTTCTTCTTCCTCTTCTTCTTTCTCCTCCTCATCACCTCCTTCTTTATCTTCTTCCTCTTCTTCTTCTTCTTCGCCTTCATCATTATCTTCTTCCTCTTCATCATCAACTCCCTCTACTTCTACTTCTTCTTCTTCTCCCTCCTCTTTGGCTTCTTCATCACCACCTTCTCCATCGACTTCCTCCTCTGTGCATTCACATATACTGTCTTCTAATTCATCATCCTCACAATCACAAACCTTTTTTTTCTTCTTTTTTGACGCTTCTTGATTCGTATCGTCCTGGTTATTAGATTCTTCCGTCTCCTCATCATCGGCCATTTCTTTCCACTGTTTGTGTGCATATAGGAACGCATTATATAACAACTTTACCATATTTTCAAGCCATTCTTACTCAACAGGTGCTAATCATGGAACCCTACTTTTTAGAACAACCTCTCTGTAATTCACGAAAAACATCTCATCAAGCATTGATAAAATTGTTGTCCATTCTTCAACTGCTGGTTAGCTTACATTATTAAAAGGGCTTCCCGGGACATGCTAAATAAACTTACCGGTAGCTCAGCTAATGCGCCTTCTGATTGTGTTAACATCCAAGGGTCTTTTATAAATCCACACTCTCACATGCAGTACTTTTCACAGGATCACGCCGGCCACCTCATCGGCGAAACGGATGCCTCCTCACGTGTTCCTCGGAGCCTACGCCTTACTCCACATTTGCACACCACTTGCAGCTTCTCTTCATAAAAATGCTTGCTTGTACAACTTTGCATCAACACTGCCTGCACTAAAGTCCAAGGCTGAACCGCAAAATGACGATGGTGGAAGTAATTGTACTCCAACCGGTTTTAGAACAAGAAATCCTTCCCTTCTTTTATGTTAGAAGTGCTGAAGAAAGAAAGGAAGAAGTCAGGAAGAAGTCACCTAGTTGCACTTTTGTTGCGTATTGCCTCCTCTATTTGTTTGCCGTATTCGCTTTATTCGTTTGAAGCAGCGAAGACCACAAATGATCTTATTAAATGGAGGGAAGCAAAGATGTGTTTGAATTAATTTACATCCAAGGTGTTCCGCTGCCTTTTAGATGCAGCAATTTTTGATGTTGCATTTGAGTTGCGGCAAAATTGCAGCAGCTGTGCCAGCTGGCAGCAAATCATGGCAAAGTAAACTTTGGCGTTGCTTCTTATAACGCTCCGTTAGGTGCACTTTTGTGGCAGACTGGTGCCTTGAATCACGTATGTGCAAAACAAGTCAGCAGTCCATATGTGCTGCCATCTTGTAACTCTACGATCATTCACTCTGCACTTTGTCCTTGGTCTTTCAGCCTTGCTCGGCACACACAGTGATTTCTTGTAACACTAATTTTCGCAATCCACTTACATTCGCCTGAATTCCACATCAACTTTTGCCCCAACTTATGTTTCAGCCCGTTCAAATTGAGAAAAATGTTTCGATTTTGATCTACTGACATTGTCTCAGATTTGATAACGTAGTTTTTATAACTCTTGAAGTCATTCTGAATATTTCTGTTTGCTTATTGCCATAAACATAGCAAACATCTAGACATAAGCCAAAAATGATTTGATATACCATGCGCAATGCCATTTCTTGCATTTGAAGCAAGCAAAATCAAGTTTGGCGGCACATAAAGAGTTTTCAGGTCCTTTAAAAGCGTATATGTCCAGCAGATGAGTCGTAAAACGCCAAGACAACGGCTGCTGCTACCTGCATTTGCAATCTACCACCATTTTCTTCTCATCAAAACTCTTCTATATAAAGTGTGTGTAAAAGAATCTGCAACTACAGAGTCTGTTAACTCAACTCCTTCACACAGCATTAATGTTTGGTAAGTTTTGAACTTTTTAAGAAGACTTCCTCTTCATATTGTTTAATCAAACATGCCTTTTTAAAGATAAGCCCCACCGATCCCCACCTTTCTCCTCCCATCTTCCCCCCTTACCAGCAAAGATGCGTGAATTTTCTGTTGAGATATTTAAGAAGGTCGAAAAATGTAAGGACGAATTTCTCAGGTCGACTGATACGGGGAAATTGTCGAGGGAAGGAAAAGACGGGAAGAAGACAGAATCCGAGAACGACTATGCGGAGTCTGTAAATGCCTACGTGATCAAAGAAGGGTAACACTTTGTTTAAATACAATTTGGATGTTATGAATGGGCAGTTCTCGAATTCACTATAATGACCCTTAGACTTGCGGCAAAACCGAGGGAGTTCTTTGATGCTATCATCTAAATGCA